AACTTTGAATAGCTATCCGAAGCAGGGGCAGACTGACAACTCATGGGGCCCCTGGGCATTAGATTATCATGGGGCCCCTGTGTCATTGCCCACACCCAAAAAATCCAATGAAAAAGCCAATGAAAGGTACTAGGGACATCTCATGGGGCCCCCTACTGACCCTACAGTACCCGAGTGCTCGAATGCTCAGTCCGCCCCTGATCCGAAGGTGACGCTTTAAAAGCCTTTATAGGTGAACACTTTAGATTTACAGAGGAGGTCTGCTGGCCACGGTCTGATGTCTGCGGTGGTACCGCACATGTGTGGGACCACCGCTGCCTGTGTGTGTGCGGGGCCGATGCATGCATTCACCTTTGGGTGTGAGCACAGGGGGGGGGGCAGGGGGCACCTCAATTCTTAATTTTTTAATGTTTATTTTTACACTGTTGCTTTCCTTTTTTTTTTTTTTATCACTTTTATTGTTGTCACAAGGAATGTAAACATCCCCTGAGACAGCAACAGGCAGTGACAGGTCCTCTTTATAGAGAGATATGGGGGTCCATAAAACCCCAGATCCCTCCTCTGTCCTTAAAAGCATTTCATCACCTCAAGATGGGTGTCACCAGGTGCTTTTCTTTTTTTAAAAAATGGAGCCGTTTATATCCAAGTAAAACAGAAGTGATTTTCAGGTCATTGCTTCTGGTTATATATATAAATATACACTATATTGGGAAAAATATTGGCCCCGCCCTCCCAATCATGTGATTCAGGTGTTCCAATCCCCTCCCAGTCATGTGATTCAGGTGTTCCAATCCCCTCCAGTCATGTGATTCAGGTGTTCCAATCCCCTCCATATCATGTGATTCAGGTGTTCCAATCCCCTCCATATCCCAATCCCCCCAATCATGTGATTCAGGTGTTCCAATCCCCTCCATATCATGTGATTCAGGTGTTCCAATTCCCTCCATATCATGTGATTCAGGTGTTCCAATCCCCTCCATATCATGTGATTCAGGTGTTCCAATTCCCTCCATATCATGTGATTCAGGTGTGTTCCAATCCCCAATCCATATCATGTGATTCAGGTGTTCCAATCCCCTCCCAATCATGTGATTCAGGTGTTCCAATTCCCTCCATATCATGTGATTCAGGTGTTCCAATCCCCTCCATATCATGTTATTCAGGTGTTCCAATCCCCTCCCAATCATGTGATTCCGGTGTTCCAATCCCCTCCATATCATGTGATTCAGGTGTTCCAATCCCCTCCATGGACACAGGTGTATACAATCAAGCCCATAGGCATGCAGACGGCTTCTACAAACATTGGTGAAAGAATGGGTCGCTCTCAGGAGCTCAGTGACTCCAAGCGTGGTCCCGTGATAGGTGGCCACCTGTGCAATAAGTCCATCCGTGACATTTCCTGGCTACTAAATATTCCACGCTCAACTGTTAGTGGGATTATAACAAAGTGGAAGCAACTGGGAACAACAGCCACTCAGCCACCAAGTGGTAGGCCACGTCACATGACAGGGCGGGGTCAGCACATGCCAGACGTCAGCCACCGAACCTTAATGACTTGGAGAGGATATGCCAAGAGGAGTGGGCCAAAATCCCTCCTGGGGTGTATGCAAACCTGGGGGCCAACTCCAGGAAACGTCTGACCTCTGTGAAGGGATTTGCCACCAAGTACTAAGCAGGGGCGGACTGACAACTCATGGGGCCCCCGGGCAATAGGGGATCATGGGGCCCCTGTGTCCTCGCCCAAACTCAAAAAAGCCTATTAAAAAGGTACCAGGGGCATCTCATGGGGCCCCTACTGACCCTGGGCCCTTGGGCAGTGCCCGAGTTTCCAAATGGTCAGTCCGCCTCTGGTACTAAGTCATGTTTTGTGAAGGGGATCAAATCCTTCTTTCCCTCATGAACATGCAGATCAGTCATCATTTGTTAGACGCATTTTTGCTGAATTTGTTGTTGTATTCTGTCTCTCAGTGTTACACCGAACATTCCATTGTTAGACCGATCATTTCTGTGTGAGGGGCCAACATTCCATTGTTAGACCGATCATTTCTGTGTGAGGGGCAAACATTCCATTGTTAGACCGATCATTTCTGTGTGAGGGGCAAACATTCCATTGTTAGACCGATCATTTCTGTGTGAGGGGCGAACATTCAGCATCAGCAGGGGAGCAACTACGCATTTCCTTCACTGTATATATATATCCACAGAGGTTCTGCTCTTTATTCGGCTCTATGATCAGTCGGTGGAAGTTCCGTCTGATCGGTAGGGTCTCCCGGTGCGATGGGTCAGGCTATTTAGGTCATGGAAGACAGCGGGGGGGGGGGGGGGGGGGGGGGGGGGGGGGGGGGGGGGGGGGGTTGTGGAATATCCCCGATCCAGCTACTAGTTAGTAATTCCTATTCCTAGAGAGCCGATCGCTGGCTCCACCGGGACGATGCCTGCAGCTGCGCCCCCCATGTATGTGATTTGGCATCTCGTGGTTATATATTATGTTCTATCATTCGTCCTATTTAGAAGGATTATAGATTCTGGTACAAACCATTGCAAACCTGTTTACACATGAAAGCAACTCTTCTTTTTTGTTTTCATTTTGTTATTTTTTTAATTTGCTAAAAAAATAAATAAATAAACGCTAAAATAAAAAATTAACAAATAAAAAAAATAAAAATGTAAAAAAGAAACAAAGTTTAAAAATTGAGGAGTACTTCAAACCTTGGCATCCTAGCGTGCTGCGATATTGTGTGTGTGCCACCCACTGAAAGGAACATACTGGCATTGCTCCAAAATGGCGCAACTCAGTGCCCCGCGTTGGGTTACCATGCGTTGTGCTGAACAACAGGTCACATTGTTTATATACATCGATCAGACGGGAGATAGAGACATACAAAGTAACAATGTATATAAACATCGATCAGACGGGAGATAGAGATACAAAGTAACATTGTTTATATACATCGATCAGACGGGAGATAGAGATACAAAGTAACATTGTTTTATAAACATCGATCAGACGGGAGATAGAGACATACAAAGTAACAATGTATATAAACATCGATCAGACAGGAGATAGAGATACAAAGTAACATTGTTTATAAACATCGATCAGACGGGAGATAGAGATACAAAGTAACATTGTTTATAAACATCGCTCAGACGGGAGATAGAGAGATACAAAGTAACATTGTTTATAAACATCGATCAGACGGGAGATAGAGAGATAAAAGGAACATTGTTTATAAACATCGCTCAGACGGGAGATGGAGAGATACAAAGTAACATTGTTTATAAACATCGATCAGACGGGAGATAGAGAGATACAAAGTAACATTGTTTATAAACATCGATCAGACGGGAGATGGAGAGATACAAAGTAACATTGTTTATAAACATCGATCAGACGGGAGATGGAGAGATACAAAGTAACATTGTTTATAAACATCGCTCAGACGGGAGATGAGAGATACAAAGTATGGAGAGATACAAAGTAACATTGTTTATAAACATCGATCAGACAGGAGATAGAGAGATACAAAGTAACATTGTTTATAAACATCGATCAGATGGGAGATAGGAAGATACAAAGTAACATTGTTTATAAACATCGATCAGACGGGAGATAGAGATACAAAGTAACATTGTTTATAAACATCGATCAGACGGGAGATAGAGAGATACAAAGTAACATTGTTTATAAACATCGATCAGACGGGAGATAGAGAGATACAAAGTAACATTGTTTATAAACATCGATCAGATGGGAGATAGAGAGATACAAAGTAACATTGTTTATAAACATCGATCAGACGGGAGATGGAGAGATACAAAGTAACATTGTTTATAAACATCGATCAGACGGGAATAGAGAGATACAAAGTAACATTGTTTATAAACATCGATCAGACGGGAGATGGAGAGATACAAAGTAACATTGTTTATAAACATCGATCAGACGGGAATAGAGAGATACAAAGTAACATTGTTTATAAACATCGATCAGATGGGAGATGGAGAGATACAAAGTAACATTGTTTATAAACATCGATCAGACGGGAGATGGAGAGATACAAAGTAACATTGTTTATAAACATCGATCAGACGGGAGATGGAGAGATACAAAGTAACATTGTTTATAAACCGCGCTCATCCAAAGACGCCTCAAAGTCACATCAAGTCGCAGTGTAAAATCACACGATTGTGAAGTGTGAATGAAGCCTAGATCGACTTTGGTCTGATCAGATGCAACATTGTCTCCCTCAAATCGCAGGAAATATTGTGAATGAAGCATGAAGACAACAGTTCTTTAGAGACAATGACAAGTGACAAAAGATGGCCGCCGTTGATTATGGCGAGATGAATGTTAGTGAATTGTCCTTCATACAGCCTGAGGACGGAGGAGGTATGAATGCTGGGATTTCTCATCCTGGAATACGAGGTGACTCAGGTGTCGGCGATGTCACACGTGGGTATCCTTCGTAAACGTCGAGGTGTTGCCAGCTACAGTCACCCAATAATAACATTTATGTTGTGACGCAGGAGGAGCGCCGCGTCCCGCAGTGTCCAGTTCTTCCTGATTCCTTCATGTATTGGAGTTTAATCTGCTTCTATTTTGCCTTTCCTGGTTCCTCATCAACATTCTAATGACATTGTGATATAAAATGTTTCCATTTTCATTACATACCTTATTTTAGGGTCTCTGTGCTACTCTAGGCAATGCAGGCAGATCATGGCTAATGGGAAGGGCTGGCAGGGGGCTGTACATAGCATCCTGAAAACAGCACAGCAACCTGCCTCACTGCTCCTCTCAAGAGCCTTCAGTCCTGATGCAAGCAGTGGGAGGAGTTATGGGGCCAGGAACAGGCTGGAGAGGAAAGTGCTAGATGATGCTGGACGTCCTCCAGCCAGGAAATGAGGCGGAGCTCTATCTGACTGGCTGCAGCTTTTAATGCACAGTGTGCAGTGACATCAGAGGAAGCCATTTCAGTCCAGGGGAGGAGCCGGTACACCTGTGCAAGACTGAAGGGGAGGAGCCAGAATACCTGTGCAAGACTGAAGGGGAGGAGCCAGTACATCTGTGCAAGACTGAAGGGGAGGCAGCTGGTACACTTGTGCAAGACTGAAGGGGAGGAGCCAGTACACCTGTGCAAGACTGAAGGGGAGGAGCCGGTACACCTGTGCAAGACTGAAGGGGAGGAGCCAGTACATCTGTGCAAGACTGAAGGAGAGGCCAGAGGGGGGTTTAAATATTTTTGTTCTGAAGGTAGTACTTACCCTGACTTCAATGTGGGATTTGTGCATAAAGTACAAATGGGCATTGAACTGGAATACCTGCACAACTTTATTCTTTTAAGGTGCATCAAAGAATGTGACAATTGGATACAACGGTGCAGATGGATACAATGGTTCAGATGCTATTCCTCCCACTGACACCAATGATGGGGCACTATTCCCCCCACTGACACCAATGATGGGGCACTATTCCTCCCACTGACACCAATGATGGGGCACTATTCCTCTCACTGACACCAATGATGGGGCACTATTCCTCCCACTGACACCAATGATGGGACACTATTCCTCCCACTGACACCAATGATGGGGCACTATTCCCCCCACTGACACCAATGATGGGACACTATTCCCCCCACAGACACCAATGATGGGGCACTATTCCTCCCACTGACACCAATGATGGGGCACTATTCCTCCCCCACTGACACCAATGATGGGGCACTATTCCCCCCACTGACACCAATGATGGGACACTATTCCTCCCACTGACACCAATGATGGGACACTATTCCTTCCACTGACACCGATGATGGGGCACACTATTCCTCCCACTGACACCAATGATGGGGCACTATTCCTTCCACTGACACCAATGATGGGGCACACTATCCTCCTCCCACTGACACCAATGATGGGGCACTATTCCTCCCACTGACACCAATGATGGGGCACTATTCCTCCCACTGACACCAATGATGGGGCACTATTCCTCCCACTGACACCAATGATGGGGCACTATTCCTCCCACTGACACCAATGATGGGGCACTATTCCTCCCACTGACACCAATGACACCTCCGAACACCAATGATGGGGTACAATTCTTCCCTCTAATATCAAACATGGGGTATTGTTTGCTCCCACTGACACCAGGATTTTTACTACTGCTGTTGACCACAGTCTGCCCCCCTAAGGTTGGATGGACAGTAAACTGGCCCTTTGTTTAGAAGGTTTGGAGACCCCTGCACTAGAAGAAAGTCTAAAAAAACCTTGTCCTTCATTGGCTAGAATGAGTTCCAAATCACAGCCTACTCTCTGCAGGGGCCCCGAGGACTGCACAGTGTCAAAGGGCCGAACGCGGCCCCCGGGCCGCGGGTTGGGCGTGTCCGCTCTCTCTCTCTCTCTTTATATATATATGTAAAATGCCATTTGAGAACACAAAATGAAATCACATCGGAAATGTCTGGGAACGAGATGGATTCCAGTCTCTCCGCCCCCCTGTTCCTGGTTAGTGGCGACATTTCACTCGGTGATGAAACGGCAGCAGAGCGCAGTGACGATAAACCAGCCCCCGGTGACGTCCGGCGTGGCACCATTACCAGTAACAGAAAGGTCGCTTTACTGCAAGGCAGGATATTGCTGGAGATTGCATAACAGCTGCTGCACCACGTAATGTTCACTTCCACAGAACTCTGATCGGGGGGGGGGGGGGGGTAATATTATATAATATTACAAATCTGCCATCCTCATTGTATTATTATTATTATTATACAGTATTTATAAAGCGCCGATAGTTCGCTCAGCGCTGTACATTACAATGGGAGACAGACAGAACATGCGACAGTAACAATACAATGTGATACACGAGGGGATCGAAGGCCCTGATCCTTGGAGCTTACAATCTAGGAGGGAGGGGATGGTGGTACAGGAGGAGATGGCTGTGGGGGATGGAGTGGTAGGAAGAGTGGAGGAGGTCGGCAGGTTAGCAGGGGGTGGGGTAGGCTTTCCTGAAGAGATGGGTTTTCAGGGTGCGCCTAAAGGAGAGGAGAGTAGGTGATAGTCTGATAGGTTGGGGCAGGGAGTTCCAGAGGATGGGTGACACCCTGGAGAAGTCCTGTAGGCGGGCATGGGAGGAGGAGACCAGGGAACTGGAGAGCAGGAGGTCTTGTGAGGAGCGGAGTGTGCGTGTTGGGCGGTACTTGGATATTAGGTCGGTGATGTAGTTCGGGGCAGTATGGTGGACAGCTTTGTACGTCAGTGTTAGGATTTTGAATTTGATCCGTTGGGCAATCGGAAGCCAGTGGAGGGATTGGCAGAGGGGGGTGGAGGACACTGAGTGGAGGCCAGTGGAGGGATTGGCAGAGGGGGGTGGAGGACACTGAGTGGAGGCCAGTGGAGGGATTGGCAGAGGGGGGGAGGAGGTCAGTGGAGGGATTGGCAGAGGGGGGTGGAGGTCAGTGGAGGGATTGACAGAGGGGGGTGGCGGAGATGGCGGAGCGGTTGGTTGGAAAGGTGAATGAGTCTGGCAGCCGTATTCAGGATGGACTGAAGCGGGGATAGCCAGCGGCGAGGCAGGCCAGTGAGGAGGGAGTTGCAGTAGTCGAGTCGTGATATGATGAGGGAGTGGATGAGCTGTTTAGTGGTTTCTGGGGTTAGGAACGTGCGGATTTTGGCGATGTTGCGGAGGTGGAGTCTGCATGTTGCAGAGGTGGAGTCTGCATGTTGCGGAGGTGGAGTCTGCATGTTGCGGAGGTGGAGTCTGCATGTTGCGGAGGCGGAGTCTGCATGTTGCGGAGGTGGAGTCTGCACGAGTTTGTTAAAGATTGGACTTGGGGCTGGAAGGATAGGTTGGAGTCCAGAATGACACCAAGTACTCTGGCCTGCGGAGTGGGCCTGATGGTGGCGTTGTTGGACGTGATGGAGAAGTCAATGGGGGGTGGTGTCCGGGCTGGGGGGGGGGAAGACTAGGAGCTCGGTTTTGGAGAGGTTCAGTTTAAGGAAATGGAGCAACATCCATTCTGATATGTCACTCAGTAGGTGTGTGATTCGGGCGGAGACTGAAGGGGTGAGGTGGGGGGTGGAGAGGTAGATTTGCGTGTTGTCGGCATAGAGGTGATAGTTGAAGCTGTGAGAGTGTATGAGTTGGCCAAGGGAGGAGGTGTAAATGGAGAAGAGAAGGGGCCCGAGGACAGAGCCTTGAGGGACCCCAACAGAGAGGGGGAGAGAGGGGAAGGTGGTAGCGTTATAGGTAACGCTGAAGGATTGTTGGGATAGATAGGAGGAGAGCCAGGAGAGAGCAGAATCTCTGATGCCGAGGGAGTGTAGTTTTTTGAGGAGGAGGGGGTGGTCGACTGTGTCGAATGCCAGGAGAGGTCGAGGAGTAGGAGCACTGAATAGTGGCCATTAGCTTTGCCAGTTAGCAGGTCATTGGAGAGTTTGAGTAAGGCTGTTTCGGTGGAGTGTAGGGAACGGAAGCCAGACTGTAGGAGATCGAGGAGGTTGTTGTCATTGAGGAGGGGAGTTAGGCGATTGTGGACTAAGCGCTCGAGGAGTTTGGATGTAAATGGCAGCAGGGAGATGGGTCTAAGGTTGTTCGGAGGAGGGGAATGCGCTGGAAGAGAGGGAGAGATTGAAGATGTGGGTGAGGGAGCGTAGGATGGAGGAGGAGGGAGGTCATAGGAGTTGTGAGGGGATAGGGTCGAGGGGGCAGGTGGTGAGGTTGGCTTCAGAGAAGACCTTGGTGACCTCCTCAATGGTAGTAAGGTCGAAGGTGTAGAGTGTTGAGGGGGCTTCAGTGTGAGGGATGTTAGGTGGGGTGGAGGTCAGAACAGTGGTGAGGCTAAGGGAGAGGGGTGTTGAGGGGGTTACCGTGTGAGAGGTGATAGGTGGGGTGGGAGTCTGAGCAGCAGCGATGTCCCTGTGAATTTGGTCAATCTTGTTTTTGAAGTGATTGGCAATTTCGAAGACGGTGAGTGGGGTGCTGGGTGGAGGTGGGGGTGGCGAGAGTAGAGAGTTGAAGGTGGAGAAGAGTCGGCGAGGACTGGAGGAGAGGGCCTTGATGAGGGTCAGGAAGTAGGCTTGTTTGGCTGCGTGGAGGGAGGAGGTGTAGGTGTGGAATGCAGATTTGCCGGCGTGGGGGCCATATTGGATCACCCTGTGTATTACCCATGCAGTACACCCATAGCATGTGGTAGGAGGCTGGAATATTCGTTTTTATGTGAGTGGACATCTATTCTATATACCTATTACCGAATAAAATGACTGGTTGCACTATGGAGGGTCTCTGTCTCACTATGACCCTGGGAGGAGCTGGCTGCTAAACTGGTGGATGCTGGAGGTGGAAGGCGTTACCTAGAGAGGGATCCATACTGATAGGATCGTGTGACCTGAAAGCATGCTGGCTTCTCAGCCTTTTGGCTAAGATCAAGTGTAGTATCCCCTACAACTGGGACACTCCTTGGTACTACTTGGATACCTTCAAGTTCATCAGGGAGCAAGGGCTGCAGGGAGTCAAGCCGGACTTGTGGAAGCCAAAGACTATCTACAAGCTCATCCGAGCCAGCGACATTTTGGAGTCGGTTCCAGGCCTGCCTTCAGACACCTGCAAGGTGGTCTGGAGGAATGTTTCTTCCAACATTCTTACCAACAGGCACAAAGTCCTGGCATGGATGGCAATCCAAGGGGGGTTGCCTCTCAGGACATTTATGCATGCCAGGAACCTGAGCAGATACAGACACTGCCCCTTCTGCATCATCCACGAGGAAACGTCTTACCACGTTTTCTGGGAGTGCTCATTTGCTCAGGCCCTGTTGGGGGCCCTGGAACCTGAACTCAAGGACTTTGTACCACAGACAGCCATCACTCACTTTGGGGTGTTGAATGGACTGTTCTGTGGAACCTTTTCTCTGGAGGACATTGACGGCGCCTGGAGGGTGCAGTGTTGCTTTAAGGACGCTTTATGGTGCGCCAGAAAGCGCCTCATCCACCAGCGGGAGAGGATGTCCATTGAGGACTGCCGCAGACTGATCAGGGACTATACCTTGATGGACTTTAAGGAGGAAGAGGACGTCTGAAGATTTCCCCCTTCCCCCTACTCCCCCTTGCGTGTCTTTGTCTTTTCAATAAAGCTTCGGCCTGTGTTTCCCCCTTTCTTCCCTTCCCCCCCCCACACACC